GGTTTTTTGGCTCATCCCTTTGAGGCGTTCTGGGCCCCGCGCCTGCAGGCACGCGCTGCGCTAAAAACAAAGCCGCCTTTTCCAACCGGACCCCAACCCCGGCGCCCGAGGCCCAACCGTCCCTACCCCAGGGGCCCGAAGGGCCCCGGTGGTTCCGCCCATAACGGCCCCCTGCCCCGAGGGGCCCCAAGGCCCCGGCAAACCCGCGCCTCCCCGCAAAAGCCTCCGAAAATTCAAACTCAAAAACCCAACCCACCCCCAAAAATCTGTTTAACCTACAATGCTACTGCAGCCCCCGCGGGGGGTCTGGGGGGGCGGCAGCCCCACGGAGGCAAGCGCGGTCCATAAAAAAAACCCAAAAAACCCCCTTTAAGGACGCTGGGACAAGAGCAAACACCCTTCCCCAGCTACAAGTCTAGAATACCGGCGAACCGGAAAGGCTTTTTGGAAGTACGTTTAACTTCGATTTCCCACCCTTCCCCTTAAAATCAAAAAACTATAAAATTTGTCTCCCCGGGAGGGCTCCCACGAAGGGGGACCCCCCCCGGCGAGCCCCGGGGCCGAAGCTTTTTTACCCCCAAAAAGCGTTTCGGGTGGTGGGTTGTCGAAGGTTTAAATTTTATCTTTTCCTCTGAGTTTTCCCCCCAAATTTGGGCAACCTTTGACGGTACATTGCCCCAAAAACGGGGAAAATGAAAAAAATTTTTTTCAAAAATTTTACCTACAACTTCTTTGAAAGGGGGTAAAGGTCGCTACCCCTTAAATTTTAACCTCATTTTATCCTTATACTTTTTGTGTCATAGGTTCTAGAACGGAGTCTCCCGCCCTTTTGGACGGACCTCTGGCTTTGGCGGCCCTCCTTAGAGTACGCGCGCGCTGTTTTTGTGTTCACCGCGATGAACCACCGTTGGCTCCCCTGCAAGAGGGAACGAAGGACGTCGCGCGCACTGTTCTCGCGCCCTTTTCCCCGCTACATGGTGCGCTTTACGGAGGGTTCGAAATTCTGCTTACTCTATTCGACACGTATTTTGGTGCTGTTTAACGTGATTTCTTCACACATCGACCTCCAACTGCAGTTTCCAAGCTGTCGGCGTCCAAAGTCAACGTTCTGCACGGAACAGATGTCGTCTGCCACGGCGCCCTACGGAGGCAAAGCGCGTGGTTTCCCCTCACTCAAGGGGGCCAAGAGGACGCGCGCGGGGCTTTTCTATACCCCCTTAACGCGCAACCGCTTCGCGGCACCCAACGGAAGCAAAGCAGCCTGCCGCCATACGCTACACAGTGTCCATGAGAAGGTACTACGAGGGGCCCGAAGGGCCCCGAGCCACGCGCTTGCCTGCCGATAGCGTCACCAGTGACCACGAGTCGCATTTTCTGCCACCGGGCGGTTCTTAGGGTCACCCAAGGAGGCTGCATACCAAATTTGGTCAAGATCGGACCACGGGGAGTCCTCGAACGAACGGACGGACGGACGGACGGACGCACAGTGGGCGGAATGACAAAATTCGACAAAAAAAAGTCGAAATGTTGCGATAGGTGTATGGAAATTCGTATCTGAAGGTTTAAGGTCATCTCAATTTGCTTCTGAAGTTAAATAAACTATTGGACAACAATTTGACAGGGTTTACATAATGACCTAAGTATAACTTTTGAGTAATTAACATGAAAAATTTTATATAAAAAAAAATGTAGAAAATACAAAAACATTTTATTCTTCTGCGGAGGGCAACTTCTCTTCCCTCTGCAGAAGAATAAAATGTTTTTGTCTGGTCTACATTCATTTAAAAATAATTTTTTATGTAAACTACTCAAAAGTTGTATTTAGGTCATAAAGTAAACTATGTCAAATTGCTGTCTAATAGTTTTTTTTAACTTTAGAAACGTGTTAAGGTGAACCTAAAACCCCTTGATACGAATTTTCATGCACCTATCGCGACATTTTCTTGTCTAAAGCGGCCATTCCGTCCACTGTGTGGCGTATCTGTAGTGAACGAAACTTGATTTTGCCGCTGCGCGCTCACACAAATCGGCCAAGAACTTCCGTTTGCGCAGCTATGCGCAGCAAATTTTTTTTCCCCTTGAAGTGTACACTGTAACCTATCAAATGCTTGCAGAGCGGGCGCCGGGTAATCTCAGGCTTTTTTCTACGCCGAATGCGAAAATATTTTTTATGTTTATTTCCAAAGTTTGCTAAAACACACGCAGTTTTGCCATTTCTCAACCAAGTACGTTTCCGAAAACAGTTTAAGATTCTCGGAAGGATGCCCTTTCGAACGATGTACTTGGCTTTGCTTGTTACTGCTTCGGTGCAGGAGAAACACGTCTGCCAACGTAGGCGTTGTTATTGTGGAAAAACATGCAAAGCGCGACCACAGACTTTGACGTGGCGCACACGCAAAACGAAGACTCGGATGGGGAAATAAAGGGCAGATTTAGATTCAGCAGGCATTTTTCTGTCAAGAAGATGTGTTTGGACACGTAAAAAAAATATTTGAAATTCGGATTTTTTTCTTGTCGAAAGCGGTCATTCCGCCCACTGTGGAACGGGCGGACGGACGGACGGACGGACGCACAGCAGGGATCAATCAAAAATACCCCAAAACCGGAAGATGACTGACTGACTGGCGATAAAAAGGCACAGCCCGAACCGCCCGACCGATTTTCTTCGTTCAAACACCATTCGATTCGTCTCTTCGACAATTGGGGAGCGAAAATATCTTAAATCAGACAATTTCTCGCCCCTTCCCCTTCAAAATCCCGATTACGACTTTTCGGTAAGAGATACGGTCCTGGTCACTGTATCTCATAGTGGTTGCCTACTTTCCAGGAGGCCCCAACTTACAAGAAAACAAACCATTTTGGAACGGTTAAGTTCAGCATAATCAAAACACAAAGTCCGTCTTGATGGTGGCAAAGGTGCATTCTCGCTTGTATTTCTTTCTGGACCAATAAATCCAATGATTTTTTCAGGCTCCCTACTTTTCAGGCGTGCCCAATTTTTACAGGCAACTTTCAGGGTAGAAATTTAGTGTTGGGCACTTCTTATGACAGTCAGGGTCCATTTTTCCTATGTAAGCCTAGCTTAACTTGAGAGGCGCGCATAAGTACTTTTGTCAAGATAAAGATTCCAGAAAAGAAATCCTCTCTCTTTAGGACCGACGGCGAAGTGTACTTTGTACTCTGTTGCTTATGAATGAAAAGCTGCTGCCTTCGTGACCCTGCAAGCAATCACTGCCCCACGCTGTAATTGTTGAGCAGTGCGATCCAGGCTAAATGACAGGCTATGCTGTTCCTGAACACGGCAAAGTGATTTTACATCAGCTGCTGACGGCGGCCAGGACAACGATGCCAGGGCAGCCCGACTTACGACGTTTTGCCTCGAAGTCACCCTTTTTTTAAAGTACTCACTCCTCATGAGGAATTGTGTACAATACAGCTTCTGAGTTAACCGCGGCGGCGTACACCACCCGATGAACAGGCGGCCAAGTCCTACTGCCGCTAGCCAGACCCCACTCGGCGGGCCGAAGGCACGCACGGGGGGTGTGGGGGGCTTCGCCCCCCAGCGAGCGAAGCGAGTCATACTGTATGCCCGTCCTTCCGACATTTTTTTACAAAATATAAACGAGACGGGCTAAAAAGTGTCAAAATGGGCACCCAGTTCGCAAAAAATCACAAAAGATCGCAACTTGACTTATTTCAAGTTAAAATCGACAAAAATAATAAAATTTCCTATCATTTAACAGCAATTATTTGGTGACCGAGAGCTTTCACGCTCATCGAAATTAATGTTTCAGATTCCTTGGACCTTGAGATTTCGAAATTCATGAAATGTGATGTTCTTGCGTAGATGCGTAAAAAACGAGCAGTTTTCACCCCACATGTATTTGCATTCGGCTTTTGCTTCAAATTGCCCCACTGTCACGCCATGAAAAAAAAATGATTTTCATTCTTTGAGTACGAAAATTTTTTGCCTCCATGTAAGTTAAATCTTTTCTACGTCCATAAATGTCATTTTCCTCGCGAACAGACCAAAACGACAAAATGTGTAGGGTAAGGTGCCCAGTGATGGCCACTTTTAGCGCACAGATGCGTCTTCCAACCGTTTACGAAGTCTCTCAATCGTCGTACCGTTTGGGACATTTTCAAGAGCATGCAAGAAGGATAGAGTAAAGGTTCTCCACTTAGAAAAGGAGCAAAATTTAACTCTGTCTTTGCGAAAAGAGTAACCAAAATTTCAGTGCAGTTTGCCCAGTGATGGCTACCCTTTGCTTTGTGATGGCCTGTGCCCTGCTCGGTGATGGCTAGTTTAGGTTTTGAGAGGGGAGTAGCTCTGTGCTTCCGTTTTTGACAGTAATCAGCGAGAAATAAAGTAAAATTTCCAAATCTGCGAAAGAAACGCTGCGATTACTGGTTTGATCTCAGCTCTACAAAATAAACAAATTATGTCAACGCAGCATTCGTTGCGCTGAGCCCGTGCGGCCGACGACGACAGCAACGAGACGAAATTTTTGCGGTGTTGTGTTGCTAATAGGTGAGGGTACAAAACCCCAAAAGCTCAGCTGTTTACCTTCTCCCGCGTGGATGAAAAGTCGGCGCAAAGTCCAAAGTGGCCATCACTGGTACCATGGCCATCACTGGGCACCTTACCCTATTTTGCGCTACTTTTTTTCGGTTTTGCATCACTGCGCTGCGAACTAACCTAGGCTCAGTTCGAGCCCCGACCTAAAAAGCCCCCTTGGAGGCCAATTTGTACTCCGTGGCAATAAATTATTAAAAAAGACTTCAAAAATATGTTTGCCTTAACAATTTCTGTTTACTGCGGAAAAAGATATCTACACTCCCGACAATAGCGGAACGCTTATAGTCATCGTAATTTCAGCTTTTCCAGCTTTTCCAGCTCGAAAGACTTAGAAAATATTACGATGACTAAAAGCTATCCGCTAATTATTGTCGGGAGTGTAGATCTTAAAAAGTACAATCACCCTCGCTTTTTTTCCCAGGTGGTGCACTTACAGGAAAGGAGTGTCAAACACCGGACAACAAGATGGGGGCATGCATCCCGCTCCTGAAATGTCCTTCCCTTTTGCACCGATTCAACGAAGAACCATTAACCCCTGCTAGCAAAACCTTTCTACGAGCAAGTAATTGCGGAGCTGCAGAGCAGTCCGTACCTGACGTAAGTTTTATACTGCAATGAACCAAAAAACAAAAAGATTTAAAACTTCACGCTCGCAGCCGCGTAAGGAGGCACACAGCAAATCCTAATGAAAGACAGACATGCCCTAGAAAACGTAGGACAAACTTACACTTCTGAGCCTGGCACGAAATGTCTCGCGCTTGTAGGCGTTGGCACGGACTTGTGCCAGAGCAAATTTATTAAAGAAAAGCCACCCCTTACATCGATGACGTCTGATCGTACTGATTCTTGTGGGTAAGTTCTTTTTATATAAAGTAAAAATCGGCCACTTTTATGTTGGCCGAAGAAAAATTCGGTTCGAAGTTATGGTGCATTTTGTGTTTTTTTTTCATTTTGCAGGCATTTAAGTTATTTTGTTCTACAGGCACAGTTTTCGTCCGACTAACTTAAAATTTAGCATCTTGAAGAATTTAACAAGGAACCTAGAATATGCCCTCAGATTTACTCTACGACTAATAGTTTTTGAGACGTGCGGCGCGGCGTGTCGCCACAGTTCAAACAGGACATGCCGTGGAGGCGTACCGCGCACGCGCACTCGCCACTCCACAGTGGAGCGAAATGCCAATAAATGAGACATCGTGCGACATAGAATTATTTTCCGATCTGTCAGCTTTTTTCAGAACATATGGCTAATTCATAATGTTATCTAGTAAAATAAATGGTTTCCTGGTATTGGCTAGGCTTGTAGGGCTAAAAATCGCGAAAAACATGAAAATTTTGTTCGAAAAACTGCCATTTTTTCACGTTTTTTGCCTGAAAAACTGACAGTTTTTCGACTCTGCAATTTTTCTTTACAGATTCTGAAAGCTTACGACAAGGCCTACAACTTTTGTTCTGGTCGCAACGCTGTAGCGAGGTCGGCCATTCCACTTTTTTGGCCTCAAATGTTTTTCTTTTTATAAATTTCATTGGAAAATTGTTATTTTTTTGACAAATTTAGGTATTTTTGTGCCCCTGCAGTCCGCTCTATGTCCCAACCAGTTTTATTTCATGCAATCGAGTCTATAAGAACTGGACATAGATGTAACGAGGCAATACAGACCTCAAGGGCACTAAAATACCTAAATTTGTCAAAAAAACAATTTTCCAATTAACTTTATGAAAAGAAAAACCTTTGAGGCCAAAAAAGTCGAATGGCCGACCTCGCTACAGCGCTGCGAGCATAACAAAAAATGTAGGCTTTGTCGTAAGCTTTCCTTATCTGTTGGGAAAAGTTGCAGAATCGAAAAAATGTCAGTTTTACGGACAAAAAACGTATAAAAAATAGCAGATGTTGGTACAAAATTTTCATGTTTCTCAGGATTTTTAGCCCTACAAGACTACTTCATACCAGGAAAACATTTCTCTTACTAGATTACATCATGAATTGACCATATGCCGTGCAAAAAGCTGACAGATCGAAAAATAATTCTGTGTCGCACGATGTCGCATTTTTTGGCTATTAGTTAAACGCTGCGTGTCTCCAAGGCACCAAAATATTATTGGAACGCAGGATTGTAAAAAGTCTTCCGACCGGCGACTGAGTCCGGCATGGTGGCTTGGTGGGTGAGTGGGTCCGTGCTTGCACAGGAATGTTTTGAAGGCAAAACTTTTCCTGCGTGTAAATAATATAACAGGAAAAGTAGCGATATACATCGGCAACTTTGGCCCGTCCCGTTCATCAGGGAATGTGCGAATTTCGCCTTAGTTTTACCCTGATGGGATTTGAAGCTGAGTCTGGGGTCAAAACAAATGTTATTTTCGTCATCAGCGCCCTCAAAAACATCAGAAACAATGCAAAAATTTGAATAAAAAGAATGTTTAAAATATACCCCACTGGGATTTGAACCCGGGTCCAAACTTCTCCGATTCACTTAAAAGTGGCACCGTTGGTTTTGTTTCGTCGCCCCGATTCCAAAAATACCCCTACATGCCCTGCTAGCTGTCTTCGTTGCAGAAATCCTCCTTGACCCCATGTAGACCATGATGCACCTGCAGCAGCGCCCACGGGGCTCGGATCGGATTTGCTGCCACCGGGCGGTTCTAAGGGTCACCCAAGGAGGCTGCATACCAAATTTGGTCAAGATCGGACCACGGGAAGTCCTCGGACGGACGGACGGACGGACGGACGGACGGACGCACAGCAGGGATCATACTATATGCCCGTCCCTCCGTCATTTTTTTACAAAAAATAAACGGGACGGGCCAAAAACTGGAACTTGCAGACATGCTGCGTGTAAATAACATGTGAATTTATTATAAACCCGCAGCGTTGGAACAACAACGGTTTTTGGCCCGCCCTTCTATTCAAAAAAAAGGGGGAGGGCCTATGCATTTGCCTTTGTGTCTGTGTGTTGTTGTTGTTGTTGGTGTCTGTGTACAAGGAAGGAGTTGAGCTAGAGTAACCAGATTTGAAGGGTACTTCAGGAGTACCGTCCTAACAAATAATCTGGTGGTGCAAATCCCGTCCGGGTCGCACAAGGGCTGCTGCAGGTGCATCATGGTTTACAGGAGCGGGAGGGGGATTTCCGCTATTATTGGTGCTAGCAGGGCACATAGGGGTATTTTTGGAATCGGGGCGACGAGACAAGATGAATGGACCTGGTCCCAACCCCATCGGCCGCTTTTACAAGTTGGCCAGTTAAGGATCTTCAAAAAAGGGGGTCGACCGACTAAAAAAATTTATTGCAGATTTCGATTGGTCTCAGCAAGACCTTTTCAACGAGGGGTCGGAAAGGGGGTCCAGGAGCCCGACTTCGTCTATTAGTCACATCAGGATCTTGAAAAAAAGGGGGTCGACCGACTGAAAATTTTTACTTAAGATTTGGATAGGTCTTGGCAAGACCTCTTCAACGAGGGGTCGGAAGGGGGGTCCAGGAGCCCGCCTTCATGAGTTATGGGGAAAAGTGCGACGGACTTGTTTTGCGCTCCTTTTGTGCCTCTATTGCAAGGAGTTGCAGTAGCATTGCAAATATAGGTATTTTCGGAATGAGGGCGAAGAGACAAAAGAAATGGGCATATTCTAAGGACAGTTGGAGTAAAAAGTGTAAGGACTATTGCATATTGTGAATAGAAGGGCGGGCCTAAGTAACGATGGTACATCGATAACTTTGCTTTACCCGCTCACGGTGTGTGTGATGCGAGCGGGCCGAAGGCCCGGGCCTTCGACCGGCCAAGTTGGGTCTGATACGAGAGCCGAAGGCCCGAGAAAAGGCCGCCGACAGGCCTAGCTGGGCTTGCCCTCTGTCGAACCTTGGAGTAATACTGTTAGGGAGTCCTAACTCGAGCTGCACCTTTCTCTTTGCCAACGCCCTGAAGGCTTGATTGTCAACTTAGAGACTTTTCCAATAGCTCATCTTGTCACAAAAAGAGTGAGGATTTACGGGATGTAAACAGATTGGAGCTAGCCCACACCGTTCTGGAGTTCCAGGCGTTTCTGTGCGTGGCACTAGGTTAGGGTGGTCCACATTTTTTAAAAGTTCAAAAAATTGAGGAGCGCCGTCCAGATTCTGAAAGAAGATGGAAAATCATGAATTTTGGTACAAACATGATAAGATTTGGACTATAAGATGATAAGATTTGGGGGGGGGCAACATTTCGGGCCAAAAGGAGGCCAAAAAGTATTTACTTCGTTCTTTGCTGAACCTTTTCGAATTGCTCGGTGGCCGCGACACCCACCGAGTACATAGCAGCAGGCACAGACTTGTTTTCAACGGTACGAACGAAGTCAAGCCAAGCAAACCTTGTGAATTGAATGCAAGATATTTAGTCACCTGTTTATCCCCTTTTTCGTTCTTTTACCCATACATTTCCTTGTTTTATGCGCTTAACAAAAACGCCTGAAGGTAGGCAACCCACACGGCAGAGGGCCGCTTGCCCCACCTGAAATTCGGACGCGTCGACGCCCCTGTTCTTAGGGGTCCATCAAAGCACCTGAACTTTGAAGAAAAATTGAAAATGTACTGGTTTAGTAAAATCGATGCTGTTTCGAGAGTCTGTGTCCGATTTTTAATTGCAAAACGGCCATCTTTTTGGAAAAGTGCGCTCTACGTGATGATGTACAAACTATGACGATACGACGCATTGCCTAGTTTCCAGGGGTGTAAAATCCCGTTTTTAACCCCGAAATACGCCATGTTCCTGTGTTTCGAATGTGTTTGAGTCGTCCGATCGGATTTTAAGGGTCTTTATTCGACGCGCCTGATTCAGACCTTTCGAAAAATGTCTAGGGCGTCAAAATCGGTTGGTTTGCCTACTGTACAGGGGCAAAAAACCACTGACATTCGCTGAAAAAGTGCACTTTTGTGATACAGAGTATCTTATTTGGCATTGGGTCAGATTTCTTGTGGTGCCATTTGACGCGCCTGGTCAAAATTTTTCTATTACCGTCTCAAGCGTATGAATCCGGTGGGTTACCGACCCTACAAGCAAAAAATGTCAATTGTCGAAAAATTAGTCTGTAGGATAGGCAACTCACTTGGCTCAAACGCCCGAAACGGTACTCGAAAGTTTTTGACCAGGCGCGTCAAATGGCACCACAAGAAATCCGACCCGATGTCAAACAAGATACTCCTTATCACAAAAGTTCACTTTTTAAGCGAATTTCAGTGTTTTTTGCCCCTGTACAGTAGGCAAACCAATCGATTGTGACGCCCGAGACATTTTTCGAAAGGTCCTGATCAGGCGCGTCGAATGGTGACCCTAGAACTCCGATCGGACGACTCAAACACATTCGAAACACAGGAACATGGCATATTTAGGGGCTAAAAACGGAACTTTACGCCCCGGGAAACTAGGCAATGCGTCGTATCGTCATAGTATGTACATCATCAAATAGAGCGCACTTTTCCAAAGGGATGGCCGTTTTGCAATCGAAAATCGGACACAGACTCTCGAAACAGCATCGATTTTACTAAATTAGTACATTTTCAATTTTTCTTTTGAGTTCAGGCGCTTTGATGGACCCCTAAGAATGGTCCAAATCTTATCATATTTGTACC